TAGCTAAACCATTGGTTATGAGAACAAAACTCTCAAAAGAAATTTGATATTAAATGTGTTATTTAAAATGTAGCAACACTTGTACGTATCAAGCCAACAAGATTTCCCCATCAGAATTGGTTCAGGGTCAGGAACCAAATCAATTCTCATCTATAAAATTTAAATGTGCAATATATTATTCAATTGCTCCACCACTACACAATGCACAAATATGAGTTCACAAATAAAGTTGAGTGAATGTTATATTCTCTAACATTAGGAGGAGATGATAAGCAACTGGAAAATAAGTTATACATAATGAAATATCATTGATATGATCCTCGTTGGAAATATAATTTAATTCAATTCATATTCACTGACCATATGTTATAATTCAGTTATAAATGCTCCAATGAAAGGTCCTTAAAGAACATAATTTATGGCACGCCGAAAACGTGATAGATAAATCGATTCGAGTGATGAAACTTTTTGAAAAAACGAGAGGAGCAAATGATTAAGATGGTCATAATAATGAGGCAAGTGCTTTAGAAATAGTACCATGACATAACACTTTATAAAACCTTGGCAAAGGTTCAGGTACCTGAAAATGATAAAAAATAAAGAGAGCTCGGCAAGTTATGTCAGATTAGAATCAATATCAAATAAATCATCGACGATATCTTTAATATAATTTAGCGCTCAAAATTATAAATGGTAACGAGGATCTTGATATTAGATTTGTCGAGTGTTGACTGATAAATGGTTGGCCAAAGAAAATACAATTCAAGTATATTTTATTTCACTTGGAAAAGTGATGTTTTGGACTTATTGTCCATATACCAAAATATAATGTCAGTGGGGTACAAATAAATTAATGTGCGATAAGAAAAATCATAAAACATAAAGTACGACTTGTGCATTGAAAAATAAAGATTTTCGCAAAAGTCCTGACATTGTATGGAGATGTATTCTCCTAATGTGGATGCAATGAGGTTTCTATTAGTCTGACAATATATGAAAAACTTGATTACGCATGATGAATGATTATCATGTCTAGCTAGACAATAAATGTTATATCAATATTCTTGAAGGATTTTAAAGATTTTAAAGTGATTCCATTGAACAGTACCTCAATGGCTGCGAGATCACTTAACATAAAGATTAATTCTGATCTCATTGAAATGATTAGAAAGTACCATGTCATAGTACAATTGGTGCACTTATGTATCCTGCTATTATTATTCATGGTATAATAATTTTATTAATATGCATAATAAATATATCACTCTATCGGTGGAAATATTAGAGTGAACCAAATATTGATATAAATTTATTTATTCTAACTAACTGTGTCAAAATTTATTAATTATGAAATTGCAGAAAATTATGAAGTTTGATTTGAAGAAAGTTATCTGTTTTCATATAGGAATATTGTCATTCCATAAGACAGTTAATTAATTGTTATACAAGTGAAAATGTTTGTCAGTGCTTGGTTGTTGCTATTAATAATTCAATCGAGCAATTTATCTACCCCGACAAGATCACAAATTGAGTGACTTTTAAAAATATATTTGGTTGAGATCAATAAACATATCCAAATAATATGTGACCTTCCTTTGAAAAGAGATATTTCAACAACATTGTATTAAGACAATGTTGCATGAGCTCAACTAAGAGCAGGACACATCAAAGGTGACTGAATAAAATATATTTCATCGAAGTTCTTCTTATTCATGATCTTCAAAACAAGGATGAAACAAATGTTCAATTGTTCGTATTCACCAAGACATTTCCAACTTCAACCTTCAAGTAATGTTTTCATCAGGGGGAGTAAATACGTGTTGCACTCTTTTTTCCTTAACCAGGTTTTATCCCACTGAATTTTTCTGGTAACGGTTTTTAATGAGGCAGCAAATAAAGCGTATTACTATACTTTTTTTTTCACTAAATTTTTCTTTTACATGGACATCCAAGGGAGAGTGTTGTAAAATGGATGTCCACACAATATACTTTGTGTCCAAATAAATTTTGTGGCCAAGTAACTTTGTGCCCAAGTTTTATAACCTATATATATAATTGTAATATGAAAGAACAAGAAGAAGTAAAAATATACAATAATAAAGGAAAGTTACTATTACTATTACTTTGTGTCTTTCTATCTCTACTCTTCTAAATTTCAATCCATTAGCTTCATTTTATAACACTTATAACTTAGTGCATAAATTTATTCTTTTCACTTTCGTTAAGTTGTATAATTCAATTGAATTCCTTTTATTCTCAATTATGACAATTAGTAACTCTTTATACGGTTACTCGTGGCTCTTTATATGACCACCAAATCTTTTGTGCCTCGTTATGACAATATTAGAAACCCTTTGTACGGCTACTCATGACCCTTTATACGGCCGCCATTCATGTTGTGTCTCATTACGGTGAAGTTAGTAACGCTTTATATGGTTGCCATTTATTAAAATGAGAAAAGACATAAAGTGACACATGAAGTTGTCTCAAATTTTCAAAAATGCAACTTAACTATGCAGACGTCCTATTACTCCAAAAAAAATATAAAATATCTTTGTAATTAAATCATTTTCGCCCTATGTTTGTTCTCACGCAGGTGACGCGTGTGAAGGTAGAATTTTGCTTCCAAATACCAATAAAAAAGCGTCATGTTTCAGTTCTTTTCTCTATTAGTTAATTATTTCATCTTTAAATACACCAAAAATCACAAAATTTTGGGGAAGATGGTGTATTTAAAAATGAAGTAATTAATTAATAGAGAATAAAATTGAAACATGACACTTTTTAATTGGTTTTTGGAAGAAAAATTATACTTTCACGTGCGTCATCTGCGTGAATACAAACAGAAAGGGAGAAAATGGGTTAAGCTGATCTATTTACAAAGGTATTTTATACTTTTGTGGGGTAATAGAACGCTCGCACAATTAAGGTGTTTTTTTTTTTAATTTCAGGACAACATCCAAAGTCAAGCATTTCATTGGTCTAGAGAAGAGGGTATATTATGGCTTAGTCACGTGTATAGACATTAAAATTGCGCCATTATAATGTCTCTGCTGCCTAGACTCTAAAGTCTGTATTGAAGAAGTAAAAATTAATTGGTTACCATTTATGCAGGCAGTGATGCACACATGATTTTAAGAGGTTGTTTTTTATCAACTCTTGGCTCAAATAAAGCCAGTCAAAAATCAAGTAAAATAAATATAACAGTGAAGAAGTCATGCTGAAACACTTAAAAAAAGCAAGCAACAACAAAAAAAATGTACGATAACTAAAGTAAGGAAAACAACGGTAACACTAAAATCGAAGAATAAGAAAATATGAGAATAATAATAACAATACTGATAGGAAAACTGGAAAATACGGAACTACCTACTAACCTTCTATCTTAGTCTTAGTTAGTGGGTTCTAAGTTAAATTGTTTACACATATTCAATGAATTTCTTAATACAAATACTTAATACATAGTTAAAACCAAGATTACTAGTTCGACTTAACGTATATCTAACCTAATAGCTCCGCTCATTTGATTAACACAAGAACATTCATTTTGGTAATATGTATGTGATCTCTATGAGACTCAAACACAGGCCGACTCTAAAGCCTTATGAAAAAGGTAGGTATCTTTGCTTCCAAATTTGAGGGCCTACTTCGTTTTAAATAATAATAGGTTATAGGTTTTATTTTATTTTTTTTTAAAAACATTGAGTATTTGTAGAAAAAGTGAACTTTCCATATAAAAGGAAAGAAATATTAGAAGTTTGACACATCTAAATACTATATCTCAAGAAGCATTTAATGAACCGGTCATATTATCAAGTGAAAAGATATTTTTAGAATAAAACAATTATAAGAAAATTATTAACAACTTAGCATTTCAAAGAGTTAGAACAATAGACTTCATAAAAGTTATATTAATTTCATTTAATAAAAAAAACCTAAGGCATCTATTTTATTTTCGCTTTAGGTTACTAGTGTGTTTGAGCCGCCTTATGTCTGCTCTGACAATATATATAGAATAATAAACAAGAAAGAAACTAATTAGTTAATAGTTAAACTTGATAGAAGTAGAGCATGTTCTGAAGAACCTTCAATGAGTCTTGGATTACAGTCAATTCATTTTTTTACTTGAAAATCTGCCTTGCCTTTTTTTTTTATATCAATATTCTCTTCATTTCATGTTTTCTTTTCTCCTTTTTTTTTTTGGGAAATTTTGAGATCAGTTGAAATTTAAGGTAGAACTTTATTCCTACTTTAGTGGTCTAAATTTGGTGTACTTAAGCTCTAATCAGTTTGTGTATCATTTTTTGTTGGCACAAGATATTAATAGCCGAAAATCATTGTCTTTTACTCAAGAATTATCATGTCAAATTATCAAGAACGTAAAACTAATTGGGGGAGTGTACCTGAAATCATGAGGGCGATACCATTTCTCCGTCTTGTGGTTATGATCTAAGAATAACAATATCTGATTCGGGGACCAAAACCCTATACTTATAATAGCATAAATTTTGTATTTTTTAGTTAGCCATCATTAAACTAGAAATTAAGTACAAATGAATATTTACACATAAGACTTCATAGTTTATGACGTGTCTTTTAGACATAAGAATCATACATATTGAATTTTCATTGTAAAATCTGCAAGTGTAACTAACAAATGTATCTTTTTCTTTGTACTATTCTTCAATATTAAATAAATAACAAACAACTCAATGTATACACAATGAATTTAAACTTGAAAATACTCATTATATATACTAAATAAAACTAAATTTTATAATGTGATAAGAAGTAGAATATAATTAAAATGTGATTCAATAGATCCCCAAATACTACACATATATCAAGGTGGATTGAATAACATTAATATATTTTTTCCACTAACATAGCAAGTTTCCCATACCATTAAAACAACATGACCTAATAAGTGATATGCAACAAAATAAAAGTAGGGAATATTGTTATTGAAAAATAGAGAGAACAATAAAGTACTAGTTTAATCATTTATCATCACCATCGCTTCCACCCTCCAAACTTGTTGATGTGCCTACTGCATGAAAATTGTCACTCATATCTACATCAGTCTCAGTTGTCGACTCAGAATTAGAGAGAAATGGCGGAGTCTTCAGAGATTGTTGTTGAAGTTGTCTTTTTCTTTCATCAAGTTTAGCTCGTATAAGAGAAAACATTTCCAACAAACTTTTAGTTTTCGTAGCATCAAATTCATTTAAATTAACCTTTCCCTTGATAAATTGGTTGAACGTGAGTTCCATTTTCTTCTCCTCAAGTTCTTGCTCAAGTTTTCTAATCTCTTTTGCTAGATCCTCCAATGTATCAACCGTTGTTTCGTTTGGCCATACTATAGAAATGGTTCGTCTACTAAAAAAAATCAACACCACAGCTATACCATACATGATAAACAACTCTTGTGCTTCGTTGGATAAACTAGCTAACTTTTCACTTAAACGTATGGCCATGTTTGGTTTAGAGAAGAACTAATTGTGAAAATAGAAGTGGGACATTGAAATGTATTTATAGCGACATAATGAGATTTATTAATACTATTTAGTAAAATTAAGTCAAGTAAATCTAGATAATTTGGTCCCATTTTGGTTATAAATCTATTAGAACAATTTGGTCTAGGAAAGATTTTTACATATTTTCTTAAAATACACCTAGTCAATATGTACATGCCATAGTTAACTGCTTTAAATAAAGGGATAAAGGTTTACCTGCACAAGATATTTACGCCTAGTCAATATGTACATGCCATAGTTAATTATATATTATTAAAATTGGAAAGCTCCAAAGTGCAAATTTGAATTATTAATACCATATATTAAAATTATGTGAAGTAAATCTAGATAATTTTGTCCATTTTTGTTAATAAATTTATTAGAACAATTTGGTCTAGGAAAGATTTTTACATATTTTCTTAAAATACACCTAGTCAATATGTACATGCCATAGTTAACTGCTTTAAATAAAAGGGATAAAGGTTTACCTGCACAAGATATTTACGCCTAGTCAATATTTACATGTCATAGTTAATCATATATATTATTAAAGAGTTTTTGGCTAAAACCATCCCTCAATTATAACTCAAGTCTAATGTATATCCTTATATTATCTAAGTGAGCAAAAAACATCCTTATATTATCGAAAAAATAACAAGAATCATCCTTTAGTCTATTTTTGTTAAGAAACTGATTGAACTAATAAAAATATTTTTTTTTTTAATTTGGTCATGTCTTAGCCACGACAAGAAGATCAAAGTTACCTAAAAAGAATAAGGATATGGATAGGAAACGAATCTTTCATTCTCAGAATTTAAATTTTGTATGTTGTTTGTTTATATGTTTTTTGCATCATCAAGTAAATTAGCTTGCAACAATACATAATTCTTGAAATACTATACAATAGGTTCCGATGTTTAGAAAAATTATGTAAACAAATTCATTTTAAAAATATTATACTCAACTATTTAGAGATTTTCTTTAATAAAATATTTAGTACGTATGTACGTTATTACAATGCAATTCACATTTTATAGTATGTACAAAAATGCTAGAAATTTAGTGATATTACGTAGCCGTTTAATTATGAAAATAAAAAAATAATTACTTTATTTGAAATTTTTGAAGTTGGAGTTGTATTTGGCCATACTTTTTACAAAGAATATTTAGAATTTGAATATATTGTCTGATTATGATTTAAATCCTCAATTTCTAAAAAATTAGAAAAATCATCCAACTTGACTAGCTTAACCATGTGTACATATATTCAATCGACTTGACACATTTTTTTTGTTGGTGGCGTGACTTTCTTACAAAAAATAGACAGAAGGATAAATCTTGCAACTTTTTGGATAGTGCAAGGATGTTTTCTGTTTACTTAAATAACACTAGAATGTACTTTACGGTTAAGTCATAGTTGAGGGGATTTTGGCCAAAAAATCTATTATTAAAAGTAAGAAGCTTTAAAGCGCAAAGTTGAATTATAAATACCATATAGTGAAATTATGTCAAGTAAATCGATTGCGCCATTGTAACGTCTCTGCTGCCTAGACTCTAAAGTCTGCATTGAAGAAGTAAAAAGTTATTTGATTACCATTTATGCAGACAGTGATGCACACACGATTTTAGGAGGTTGTTTTTTATCAACTCTTGGCTCAAATAGAGACAAATTCAAAAATCAAGTAAAATAAACATAACAGTGAAAAAGTCATGCCAAAACACTTAAAAAAAACAAATAACAACAAAAAAAAATGTACGATAACTAAAGTAAAGAAAATAACGATAACACAAAAATCGAAGAATAAGAAAATATGAGAATAATAATAACAATACTGATAGGGGACTGGAAAATACAGAACTACCTACTAACCTTAGTTAGTGGGTTCTAAGTTAAATTGTTTACACATATTCAATGAATTTCTTAATACAAATACATAGTTAAAACCAAGATTACTAGTTCAACTTAACATGTATCTAACCTTATAGCTCCGCTCATTTTATTAACATTAGAACATTCATTTTGGTAATATGTATGTGATCTCTATGAGACTCAAACACAGGCCGACTCTAAAGCCTTAAGAAAAAGGTAGGTATCTTTGCTTCCAAATTTGAGGGCCTACTTCGTTTTAAATAATAATAGGTTATAGGTTTTTTTTTTTTTTTGTAGAAAAGTGAACTTTCCATATAAAAGGAAAGAAATATTAGAAGTTTGACACATCTAAATACTATATCTCAAGAAACATTTAATGTACCGGTCATATTATCAAGTGAAAAGATATTTTTAGAATAAAACAATTATAAGAAAATTATTAACAACGGAGCATTTTAAAGAGTTAGAACAATAGACTTCATAAAAATTATATTAATTTAATTTAATAAAAAAAAACTAAGGCATCCATTTTATTTTCTCTTTAGGTTACTAGTGTGCTTGAACCGCCTAGAATAAAACAATTATAAGAAAATTATTAACAACGGAGCATTTCAAAGAGTTAGAACAATAGACTTCATAAAAATTATATTAATTTAATTTAATAAAAAAAACACTAAGGCATCCATTTTATTTTGGCGAAATAGTCTGGTGAACCCTTGTACTTGTATGAGTTTGTATTGTGAACCCTTCTACTTATTCCTTTGTCATCTAAACCCTTGAATCCATCGAAACACAACATTTTAAACACTATTTTTGACTTGGCATCCTATGTGGCAGCTGATATCAAAGAGCGTGTGATACGCGTCTATTAGGAGCGTAAGACCCTTGGAAAGGGGTCTCAAAGTCATATTAGGGCTTTATAAAGCTATCATCTTCTCATTTGCATCTAACACCATTGTTGGACAAAAAAAGAGGTTTTGCTGGCTTCTTTTTCAATCTTCTAGCCCCAGTTTTTTCTTCTCTATTTTTTTTCGCCATCACATTGCTCTCTTTATTATTCATTTTCACTTACTTTTTTCTTCAATATGGGTTGATCTTGTTGTATTCTTCTTCATCACCATGAAAATTCATTTTTGTTAGAATCCTATAATCTAATCGAAATCATAAAATACGACATTGAAGGCATAACACTACTACAAAAACATTTTACACTAACGTTAAGCACAAAACAAAGTAAAATTCTGAATTTTTTTCAACAAAATCAATGTAATCGACTAAACCCCAAAATCAAACAAAGACACAAATAAAAGATGAAATCGAGACTAAATGACAAATAAATTGAAAAACCTGCATTGATAAGTTGAAAAACAAACAAAATCAACAAAAAAACTCAAATAATTTCCCGCATTGACCCCTGTTTTAGTTATCCACCACCTTAATGACCCCTGTTTCAGTCCTAAACCAAATCCGTCCTAAACCAAATCCAACCTTACTGCCTTCTTCTCCTCCTCCTCCACACTTTCTCCGATCATACCATTTTCGTTCTCACCATCTCCAACAAGCTTCAACCGCCAGCTATAAGTGAGAGCCAACAACAACAACAACAACAAAAAAACCAAACCAATTCCACCAATAAACCTCGACCTTTAGAACTCCGCTAGCCCTAAACTCCGGCGAGATTGTGAACAACCAGACCACCCAACAGATCCCCATTCTTCCTCAACGCCACCAGTCACCACTTAAATCTCAACCCAACAGAACCCAAAATCAACTCCGAGCTCCGAGGAGATTGTGAACAACCAAAAATCATTTCGACATTTTTTCTTCAATGGAAAGAGTAGAAGAGGTTGGGAAAGAAAAAGTGCAAGGAAGATGAGAGAGAGAAATGGAATGAGATTGGGATTTGTGGGAATGGGGATAGCTATGGCAGAGGCAAATAAAAATTGAAAAAAGAAGTACAATATGTACATTAATCAAATATGATAAAAGGGAAAGGATGACATGGAGTGGCTATATATACACTTGTCATTTTATAATCATACATGTCATTTTATAATTATTTTAAATATTATGTGTCAAGCGTTTGTTATACACACACAGTTGAGTAGGAAAAAATGAATTCAAAATGTTGTGATTCGATGAATTCAGGGGTTTATATGGCAAAGGGATAAGTAGGAGGGTTCACAATACAAACTCATACAAGTACAAGGGTCCATCAGATCATTTCGCCTTTTATTTTCTCTTTAGGTTACTAGTGTGCTTGAGCCGCCTTATGTCTGCTCTGACAATATATATCTATATTACCTTAAAAGCAGGGGCGGACCCACATGTTGTCTTTCGGGTGCTCGAGCACCCATTAACCTCGTCTCGAAATATATATATATATATGTAGAAAATAAGAAGTATTTGTATAAAATTAACTTAGAGCACCCAATGACCAAATGATCTAACTGGTCCATTAGCTTTTGGGTGGGTGCTTAAGGCTCTTGTTGTGTTGCTGAACCCGAGTTCGAATCTCACTTTGAACATGTCTTTTTTATATTTTTGACTCAAGCACCCACAACCTTAAAATCCTAGATCCGCCACTGCTTAAAAGCATGAACTCTTTACTTGAATGTTAAATTACTATAATATCCCTAATTGTGACTTTTTCGATGAATTGTGAATTTTTCGATAAGTTATGACTTTTCCGTTAAATTGTGTCTTTTCCGATAAGTTGTGTAATGACCCGTAAAGTCATATTTAAAGTTTTTATAAAATTATCAATTTACCCCTCCCGATAGTTGCCACGAGTCATTCATGATCAGTCGGTGAAGTTGATTTTAAGAATTTTGAACTATTCGATAAATACGATTATTTAATTGATGAATATTTATTAAATAATTAATTTATTTAGTTATTGATTAATGGGTCAAGCCCATAATTCATTTAGTGACCCATGTAAAATAAATTAAACCTAAACTGTGAGAGAGAACTGTACAGTTGGTGCGGCATCAAGTCACAAAGTAAAAAGAGGACTTGAGCAGTGAATCCTCTTCCTCAGGTAAGAAATCTAACTAAGCTTTTATGATAATTTTATAAATATATTCGC